AGAGGGGGGGAGAGAGAGAGAGAGAGAGAGAGAGAGAGAGAGAGAGAAGGGGAAAAGAGAGAGGATGAGAGAGAAAAGGAGGAAGGAGAAATAGATAAGAGGGGGAGAGAGAGAGACAGAAAGAGAGTGAGAGAGATATGGGGAGAAAGAGAGAGAGAGAGGAGGGGAAAAGAAAGGATGAGAGAGAAAAGGAGGAAGGAGAAATAGACAAGAAGGGGAGAGAAAGAGAGAGAGAATGAGAGATATGGGGGAGAGAAAGAGGAAGAAAGAAATAGAAAGAGGAGAGGGGAAGAGAAAGGGAGAAAGATAAAAAGAGAAGGAGAGAGGCAGAGAGATAAGGGAGATGGAAAGAGACAGAGAGAGATAAGCCAGAGAAAGATAAGGGAGAGAGAGAGAAAGAGAGATTGAGATTGATTTCCTTATCTGGTATGCAATGTCTGCCCCACACTCAGTAGGATGTAAGCTCTTTGAGAGAAGAGACTTATTTTTGTCATAGGATCCTGGATTTGGAGCTGGAGTGAACCTACAGGTCATCAAATCCAACTCATCCTTTTACAGATAAGGAAACCGAGGCCCAGAGGGAATTGCCGTGCCCCAAAGTTCACAGGTAGCCCAAGTGGCAGAGCAGAGCAAGGAGTTGAACCCAGGTCCACTAACTTCAAATCCATTGCTTTTCCCACAGCATTACACTCCAAGTACAGTGCCCAGCATACAGAAGGCACCTATTAAATGCTTTTTGAGTTGCACTGAGTCAAATCCCTCCCCGAACTGGTCTGTGGGATATGACTTCAATTTGATGTCAAAATCTCTTGGCTTCCCAGGCATAGGGCACAATGAGGGCACAAATGTGGAGCCAGGAAAGTCCCAGGAGGAGAGTATTTCCTCACTCTCCATGTTCACGTCATGCCTTCCTTCCACCCACGCAAGCCATTCTGCCTTCCCAGTTCCTGAGAATGGTAGGCCTTTGTACACATCTAGTTATTCCAGTGGGGAGTGAATGAGGACACCTCCTTCTACCTAGCCAGAGAAAAGTTGACATTCAGCTTTGGGACATCCTTCCAAGCCTACCCAACACAAGTAGAAGGATGTCTGTCCACCACAGCCTCACCTTCCTGGGCTTTGACTACCCCTAGTTCTTAGCAGAATCCATTCAATGCCAGCATGCATTTATTAAATACCTGCTGTGTACATATAGAGTACCACAGTAAACTGCCTCAACATCAGTGTTGTTATCAAGGAAAGGTTGTTTGGGGCTGTTTAATGACACAGGGAATTGTTTTAAATTTAAATTCAAGACAACTTTCTTTCAAAGCCTTCAGGATGTAAATCAGCTATGTCTGCCCCTGGAGTTCACCACCACATCCTCTTGCTGGAGGCCTCAGATCCCAGCTGTGAACCAATATGCGGGACTGTGCTCTCAGCTTTTAGAGAAGTCAGTCAATCAACAAGCATGTATTAAGTACCTACCATGTGCCAGACACTATGTTAAACCTGGGGATAGGAGTACAAAGATTAAAACAATCCTTACTCGCAAGCTTATATTCTGATGAAAGAGGAAACAAGTGCATATGAGTATATATGAATATAAGAATAAACACTCACACAGTAGTTAAATCCCAGGTGGTTTAGGGAGGGGATCAGGAAAGGCTCCAAGCAGGAGATGGTGCCTGTGCTATTTCTTGACAGAAGAGAGATTCTGAGAGGCAGAGGGGACGAGAGCACATTCCAGGCTCATGCCAGGCATGTGGCACAACAGAGACGGGAGATAGTGTTATATATTAGGACCAGAGAGGGTAGTTGGCTGGCTCACACAGTGTGAGAGAGAAAATAGCATTCAGTTCCAAGTAGGTGACTTGTTCTGATGTGGTCAGAGTGGGTGGATGGGTGGCTGGGTGGGTGACTGGCTAAATGGAAGTTTTCTCTCTCTCTAGGACTGGGTCATTGCACCTCAAGGGTACTCTGCCTATTACTGTGAGGGGGAGTGTGCCTTCCCACTGGACTCCTGCATGAATGCCACTAACCACGCCATCCTGCAGTCCCTGGTCAGTACCTGCCTTTCTGCTCCCAGTGAGCAGGGCTGCTCTGCAGAAAGGTTTTCTCACTCATTTGGCTTCAAGTCCTGATTCAGGCTAAAATAACATTGCAAATAAGGGAGGAAAGTGGAAGAGAGACAGGCTCACCACAGCAGGGTTACAAGAAATCTTATAGAATTAGTCCAAGTGAATTAGTCCTTTTTACTTAACTGCCTTGGTGTGAGAGTTTCTAAAATGGTCCTCACTGACAGCTTTTTGACTCTGCAAACTCGCTGACTTTAACTGAGTTTTGGTAGATTTTAATAATATATACTAAGCAGCTTGCACTTACAAAGCACTTTACAAGCATTATTTAATTCAGTCCTTACAACCAGCCTTGGGAGGTAGGTAGTGAAAGTATTATTATCCCCATTTTTCAGATGAGGAAACTGAGACTCACAGAGAAGAAGTAATTTTCCTAAGATCACTCGCCTAGGAAAAGGCAGAGCCAGAATTCCTGACCCCAAGTCACCTTCAACCAGGATGACCTGGATCCTATAAGTACTTCTCTGACAACCTTTTTGATGTGGTAGGAAGGAAGGAAGAAAGGAGGGAAGGAAGGAAGGGAAGGGAGGGAGGATGGAAAGGAAAGGAAAGAGAGAAAGAAAGCAAGCAAGAAAGAAAGAGAAAGGCAGAAGGGAGCATTTATTAAGTTTTTGCTCCATGCCAGGCACTCAGGATACAAATATAAGCAAAAAGAGTCCTTGCTTTCAGACAGTTTACATTCTAATAGGTGAAGACTGCATAAAAAGCAGTCGAGAGTAGATGGTGGGAATAAAGCCATCTTGTTTCGTAGCATGAAACAATGTTTCTTTTCCTCATTCTCCTGAGACAAATTAATCTACCACATGTATTTGTGGGGGAAAGGAGAGAGGAGAGTCACTCCAAGCTCACCGAAGATGTCCCAGCAGTGGCTAATCTGAGATGAACACAGAGGCCTGGGGTCGTTTTGGCAGCAATGATTTAGAGCTGGAAAGGACCTTTAAGACCACTGAAAGCAAACCCCTCATTTTACAGATGAGGAAATTGAAGCCCAGACAAGAGATGTGACTTTCCCAGGTTCATATACATTGTGCCCCCATCAGGATTCTGCCTCCTGATTGCAGCATTGATGAGATCGAGTTGTCCAAGGCATCTAGGTGGCGCCATAGTGCATAGAGTGTCCAGGAATACTCATCTTCCTGAGTTCAAATCTGGCCTCAGACACTTACTAAGTGGGTGACGCTGGCCAAGTCACTTAAGCCTGTTTGCCTCAGTTTCCTCATCTGTAAGATGAGCTGGAGAAGGAAATAACAAACCACTCCAGTATCTTTGCCCAGAAAATCCCAAATGGGGTCGCGAAGAGTCAGACATGACTGAAAATGACTGAACTACAACAACAACAAATTGTCTGAGGCCAGAAGAAGGAAGCCGACTCCTCATGCCCTGAGCCAGCCTTACTCTGGACAGGCACCAGCCTCTCAGACCAAGTGGATTTCCCCCTCGTCCCCCATGGGTCTTGGGCAAGCTCAGTGTTTGCAGCAGTCACCCAGCTGGTCCGTCCAGCAGTGGAACTTGCCAGGCCGCTGAGTTAGTGGAATATTCACAGGGTTGAGGCCAGCTCGGAGCAGAGGGAAGGTCATTCCCTCGATAAGAGCTACAGAATCAAATAGCAGACGCCGCCACCAGGCTGACCTGGCGGGGCCCTCGGCCCTAGCTGGAGCAAGGTTACCTCCCCTCACCTGGCCCTTCCCGATGGGACTAGAGCCTGGCGGGTGGTCGAGGGGCAGAGAGCTGCTCAGAGGCCTCAGTCTGGCCACAGGAGGGGCGCCGCCTGCCACTGTAGCCACCACCATGAGAAGGGTTCCAATGTAAACTGCAGCCCAGCCTGCCAGGAGTTTAGAATAAATATTTTCATGAAGGCTGAAAATAATCTACTCATTCAACCAGAGTCTTTTTTTAAGGAAAGCACTGGTTTAGGGTGTAGTGGAAAGATCACTGACTGGACTTACAATCAGGACACCTGAGTTCATGCTTGGGCTGGGCCAGTCGTGACCCACGTGACTTTGGGCAGGGCAATCCCCCTCTCTGAGCCTCAGTCTCTTCTTCTGTGAAATGGGCCTGCGAAGCCCTCTATTGTCTCCCGCTCAGGCTGTGTAAAGATCCAGTGAGATAAATGGATGTAAAAGTTCCTGACCACAAGGGGCCCTGAAGAGTTTGCGGGAATCCCCGTCCTTTAGTGGCCCCTAACTTTCCTTCTTACTGTCATTGAGCACCCAGCACCTAACACTAAGTGCTAGTTCATAGTAGGTGCTTTATAAATGACTTATTGACCTGTTGCCTCTTCCCTTGACTCACTGTGGAGTGTGCAGACAGTCCTGGTATACTTGGCGGCTGCATCAGGGGAGGGCAGGCTCTGTACGGTGCTGGCAGGGCTTTGAGGATGGGCCTAGCGAGGTCAGCTAGGGCCTGACTTGGTTAGCCACCAAGAGGTCAACCTTCTGGTCACCTAGAGGAGGAATTCACTTGCAGTATTTTTTTTTTAAGGCAATTGGGGTTAAGTGACTTCCCCAGGGTCACACAGCTAGTAAGTGTCAAGTGTCTGAGGCCAGATTTGAACTCAGGTCCTGTTGACTCCAAGGCCGGAGCTCTATCCACTGCACCACCTAGCTTCCCCTTATGGGTCTTTTTCAGAATAAAAAAAAAAAGGATCAGGTGATCAGGTTTCAAAAATGTTTTATTGACATCTTTGGTTTAGATCCCTCAGTTCCTAATCTATCCCTCTTAGGCAATCATCCTTTGTGACAATGAATAAGAAAGGGGAGAAAGTAGAGTTCAACAAAATTAACCAACACATCAGTGAAGCCCAGCTGTCTATGCAGAATCTACAGCCCTGGTCCTAAGCTCTGCAAAGGTGGGAATGAAGCAGAACCTTAGACCTCTTTGGGAGGAACTAAGCTTGGTCATTATAATTACGGAGCACAGGCTTTGGAGGCAGAGAACCTGCGTGGGTGGGTTTAGAACCCACCTTTGACACTTACTACCAATGTGACTTCAGGCAAAATGCTTAACTTCTCAAAGCCTCAGTTCCCTCATCTGTAAAATAATTCCCTCCAGCCCTGGATCTACTCTCTTTTGTTGTTGTTCAGTGATGTCTGTCTCCTCTTGACCCTATTTGGGGTTTTCTTGGCGAAGATATGGGGGTGTTTTGCCATTTCCTTCTCCAGCTCATTTTACAGATGAGGAAACTGAGGCAAACAGGGTGAAGCAATTTGCCCAGGGTCACACAGCTAGTTAAGTGTCCAAGGTCAGATTTGAACTCACAGAGATGAGTCTTCCTGACTCCAAGCCTGGAGCTCTGTGAACTATGGCACCACCTCGCTGCCCTTGAATCTACTATCTATTATCCTATTAACAGATAGAAAGTTATCTTCTTTTAAAAAAAAAGTTTCTGATTGAAGAACTGAATTTTGATTTTTTTTTCTTTGTACTTTCCATTGACATGGTTGTACTCTGTGTTTATCTGGTTCTGCTGGTGTTGCTTACTTCACTCTGCATCAGTTCATATAAGTCTTCCGACATTTAAGAAGAATTTTTAAAAAAACCTGAAAACCTCATGCTTACCACAGAGCCAGGGAGACAGTACACACAATGACTAAAACAGTGCAAATAAAGAGAACAAGAAAACAGTGGCCATGAATGCTGTGAAATTACAGGGACTGAGCTTGGCCCCAGAGAAGAGGTATGAGAAGACGCCTCTCCCTGCTCTTTTGCAGAAGTGGAGGTCCACGGGTCTGGAACACTGCATATCACGTACAACTTTTTCAGTGTGTTGATTCATTTTGCTGAGTTTTCTCTCCCTTTCCCCCTTTTGTTTTATCTTTGTTATAACAGATGTGTCTCTGGGAGGGAGAGAGGTTGGGAAATGTAAGCGATATGAAAACAAAAAAGATTTGTTTTGGGGGGTTAACGATGTCCTGCTTCCCTTAATTTCCTCCTTCACTGAATGACCTCTGGCCCTCTGGGAGCACACTGAGCAGCTCCTCCCAGGAAGGCCAAGCTTGCTGAATCCTTTGCCCCCATAGGTGCACCTGATGAAGCCCGACAGTGTCCCCAAGGCCTGCTGTGCTCCCACCAAGCTGAGTGCCACCTCAGTCCTTTATTATGATACCAGCAACAATGTCATTCTGAAGAAACATCGGAACATGGTGGTGAAATCCTGTGGCTGTCACTGAGACCCCTCCAAGGGCTCTGCGGCTCATGGAGAAGCCCTATCACTGGTCTTCAGGCCGGCTATCCAGAGCACCCACATCAGGGAACCTTCTGCCCCTCAATCAATAATACAAACCTCCCTGCTTCCGGATAGATGGATGGCTTTCTGAAGGGGCTGGAAACACTCCAGAAGATTCCTGTTGACTGCAGGCCATTAGCTGTGAAAGCCCAGTAGCATGGGACGGGGGTGGGGGGGTGGGGGGTGGGGGGGGTGGGGGGGTGGGGTGGGGAGTTGCTGGCTGTGGCCTTTTGGGATTCACAAACTCTTGGGTGTGTGGTCTGCACCATAAGTATTTAGCCCCTAGACAGTGAGGACGATTCTTCAGTTGGCAGATCTCCACTGATTTAGCAACCTTAGCTAACTATTAGCACTCCAGAAGCTGCCACTGGACACATGGCGACAGACCACCTCTAGATGCCCAGACAGTCATGCCCCGCTGGTTTCTAGGAGGAGAACGGGGGCTCACAGCAGGATTCACTGTCAGAGAGTCATCTCTCATAGGATCAGAAATCTAGAGCCGAAAGCCCAACCCCCTCATCTTGCGGATGATTTCCTAGATAAGCCATAACAGACCCAATATATGCACCTTATGTAATTAGCACCTTTGATGCAAATAACAATGGCCCCAATTCCTATAGAGAGCATTTTACAGCTTGCAAAAGACCTGTGCTATAGGGAGTGGATCAATTATATCCCCATTTTGCAGATGAGGAAACTGAGGCCCAGGGAAGGAGAGTGATTTCCCAGAGTAACAAAGCAAGGTAAGAGACTGCATCAGGACTTGAGCCGAAGTCTCCTGACTCTCAATCCTATGTTCTTCCCACTATCCCCAAGAGGTTTCCCTAGTTAATGCAGATAAACTAATTGAACTGGTTCATTGTTTTCTAAATATGCACTAACCCTATTTCTTGAAGGCCATTTTTTATTATGCAACTCACTTCAACTGGACAAACATTTATTGAGTACCTACTGTGTGCCAACTGCAGGGGAGGTACAAAGAAACAAAACACACAGTAGGGAAACATTCAGGCTCCCTGGAAGTCTCTCTGGTTATATCAAATGACCATGTTTTTAGCCCTGGGGATACTCAGATCAGACACCAGTAAATGCTTTCAAGTTCAAGGCTCCTAATTTCCATGATGCTCTCAGGAAGTCTAGGGGGCAAGGGCCTCCCCCTGGAAGCTCTGTGGAGGAGTTGGGATTAGGGGCTGGCTCACAAGAGCTCCGTCTCACTACAACCAACCTCCACAGACTGACCAGATGTCTTTGTTGTAATGCAGCTTTGTTCAAAGGTATGTGTTTTCATTTGGATTAGCACATTATCACAAAATTTTCGAGTTGGAGGAACCACAGAGCCAAACTCCTATACACTGTATTTTTAGCAGGTAATCAATACTTCCAGCATTGAGGGAGCAGCCTGTTCCCTTGATGAATTAGTGGACAAGTCTTGGCAAGATAGTAAAACGCTATTTGTATCACAAATCTCTGATCACTCCTTTTAATGTTAGAGCCACATGTAAATAAAAGACAGAGGGGAAGGGACGTGCACGTATGTGTGTGTGGGTCATTTACAAGTCATGGATGACTGTCCTTTCTGACCGTAGAGAAATGGACTGAATGGTCCTCTAAGGAACCAGGAGTTCCCAGCTCCCAGTCTAGCCTGGGAGCAGGAGAAAGAAGGATTCCTTGTGACTCTGATTTTAATCTCCAGAACAAGTTCATTCAGGAACTTCAAACAAAAGGTGATGGGGAAGAACACTTCATTTAGGGATGACTACAGCCATGTGGTGCCCTCTGTTGGTGCCTAGGAGGTAGTGCCGCCTCAGAGATGGACAAACGTGTCCAGATGCCAGCCAGAAAACCACTAAATGATTAGAATTATGAGGATCTTTAGTGCTTGAAAGGACATTGGATGTGATCTAGTCCAATTCTCTCCCTTTTTTGCAAGTGGGGAAGCTGAGACCCGGAAAGGTGAGGGAACACACCCAAGATACGAGAACTCGAACCCAGTTTCACGACTCCCAGTGTTCTGTCTTTTCCCCCTCACTATATCAGGATTTTAAAGCTGAATGGGATGTTAAAGACAATCTAGTCCAATGCTCTCCTTTTACAGAAATCTAGAGGAGAGAAGACACTTGCTCAAAGCCACCCAGAATAGGCTAGAATAGTGGGAGGGCTTGAATTTGAACCCAGGACTTTGGCCTGCCCACCCAAGTCTTTTTTTTACTTGATGCAAAGGCCCCAGGCTACACCATACTCTTCCCCCGAGCATTTCACTCCAAACTCACACAGGAGCATCGAAGTCACCAAGGAGACGTTATAGGGCTGCCAAGGGTTGACCAATATTCTCACTCTGTCTCAGAGTGGATAAACAACACCCAGGAGTCTACAGATCTGTCTTTCTAATGTTGCTTAATGCAGAAAAGAAAAAAATAGAGAGGAGGAAAAAAAGGAAATTTCTAAAGACAAGCCTACGGAAGTGCTTTTTGTGTTCTATATTTTTTTATCTGAACTACCAATTACCTAATTACCGATGCCTGTAATCCAGAGGGGCCCAGAGGCAGGTGGCTTGGTCACAGAACCAGCCTGACTCATGCTTTAGAACTGATGGAAAGGCCCGGCCCCATGTTACTGCTGCTCGCTCCTGTTGAATCCATTTGTGCCAGCGTAGGGTAGGAAGAATTTGAGATGGTGAAGACGGGGCATTTCCCTAAGCGTCTGGCTTATTCTTTCTTCTTTCCCTCTCCCCACTTCTCGGTATGTGTAAACTCGTTTGGGCCATGGGAAGTCCCTTACTGAATTCAGTGCATTACTAAGCTTGAGTCATCTGTCTACAAAATTGGCAGGGCTTAATTTCGACCTTGTGTTGAGTGGAATGAGAATGAGCCCTAGAGAACCATTCCTGGTCCTGGCCCCACTCCCTGAGGGCCATTGAGGCAGGAGAAATGCAGACAGATCAGCCAAGCCTTGCACGCATTGTCCCTAAGAAGGAGCCTCAATGGAAGAGGCTAGCCTACCCCGGGAACAGGACTTCTCAGCAAGAGAAGGTTGCAGGAAAGGCTCGAGGGGCCTTTGCACTTAGCAACCTGGCTTTCTGAGGAACGATTCCCATCTGAACGGATGGCGGCCAGGGCCAAGCACAGCACGGTGGACTGGAAACGGTGCTGAATGCAGAGACTCAGGGGACCTGACCATCCACCAGTCCTGGGCCTGCCTCTGCCCTTAAAGAGGGCTGTGTTTGGAGTCAAAGGACCTGGGTTCGAGTTCTGACCTGTGACATTGGGCAAGTCATTTACCCTCTGAGCCTCAGTTCTTTATCTAGAAAAGCAGTAGGTTGAACTACATGGCCTCTAATGTTTCATTCAGCCCTAAATTGAGAATTTTTGGATCCCTGAGTCAATTTCTTCCTCTGCAAAGGGACTGAATTGGATTTTCTCTGAACTCTCTCCCAACTCTGACATTCTGTGTTCTAAGGTTCCTCCCAGCTCTGACATCCTGTGTTCCAGGGGCCCTCCCAGCTCTGATAT